ATGTATTGAACCCAGAATTTACTGGAGATTATCAGATTTCACTGCAGGATAGTTAGTTTCATACAGAAAGGAAGAACCAAATCCTCCCTAGCCTTTATGAGTATAGAGTTTAGGTTTTAAAAACAATTGACTATGAAGGATGTACTTCTATATTGACCTTTAAGAATGTTTTATTAATGTTCTTGCCTAAATTGGCATTCATAATTGTTTTGCATCACTACAATATGTAACTCGTATGTTCCTGGGGCATGTTTACATATTGCATTCTTGCTGTATGAGTCTGGTAATTACAGTCAGTGGATGGATGTCATAGGGTATCATGTTACATTATTTTATTTCTTTCATGTTTAAAGAGTTGTGTCCCTGACTTCACATTTGGGATAAGCTGTAAATACTGATGTAGTTTATTAGTTATGTAGCCTAGCATATAGTATATCTTTTTATATGTTAGTGTGTCTATGTGAGTAGAAGCATGTGTGTATGTATATTTCACTGCTAAAGCATAAAACTGAAAAGCACTGTGATGAAACCTTGTCAAATTATTTCTCCTTAAGTCTTTTACTTTATGATACCTAGTTAGATTTTTTACTACTGTCTTTAAATTTTTTCCCAGCATATTCTTATGAGAGGCATTTTTTTAAGGCCCAGCTGACCTGGAACTCACTGTGTAGACCAGGCTGGCCGTGAACTCACAGAGATCCGCTTGTCTGTCTCCTGAGTTTTGGAATTAAAGGCTGAGAGGCGTTTTTAAGAGTGTTTAGAAAAGGTGGCATAGCTTGCTTACTCTTAAAAAAAAAAATCTAATAGGAAATTTAAAATTTGATTGTGTCAGTATGTGAAATATGTATGAATGTTGAGTAAAAGCATTCACTGAAGTAGATATGGCAAATATTAAAACTGGTGGATTGTGGCATTTAATATAGATCTTGTTTGAATTTCATCTTTTAAAAAATTATTTATTTAATAACTACATAGACGAAGCATTTCATTACAACAGCATTGATATATTCAATAACAATTTCTAGAGCTAAGATGCATCTCTTTCAAAATTAGCTGTAAGTTTTTAGGTATACAGTTGAATTAATACAGTTATACAATATTGTACTCAGTATAAACTCTGTAAGACATAAAATGAATGAGGTTTTAACCTTTAAAAAAGATCTCCATTTCATTATTAAAACACATTTTCATACAGAAAATTTCATTTTTAATGCAATTAACACTTAGATGTTTGCACATGCATTTCTAACCTCTATAGATCTGATTATTACAAGTCAAATAATTAGCAGATGTGAAAACCATTACCATTGAAATCTACCTGATGACTTTATATCCATGCTCAGATGCCAAGGAGCTGAGAAAGTAACCGACTATGACTAGTAATAATCAGATATATAGAGATTAGAAACGCATGTGCAAACATCTAAGTGTTAATTGCATTAAAAATGAATTTCTTCATCTTTTGTATATGCTTGAATGGTTTCCAAGCAAAAAAAGAACAAATGGAACTAGAGAATACCAGCAGAAACTGCTCATTAGGGTCTAACAGCTCTGCTGCTTTTCTGCTAAATGCAGACGTAGATATACCAATAATCCATGCCTTCTCTGGTAAACAATAGTTATGATCCTGTCAGTGGTGCATGTTTTAGAGCCTTAAGTCATGTACACTGATACAAGGCTAATTTTAGTTTTACCAAATAGTAAAATCAGAAATCAAACGAGAGGGAAAGATAAAATAAGTCCTAGTGTTTATTGCTTAGTGAGTTTTCTTGGGAAACATAGAAGAAATGTCTGCCTCTGAACTGGGGCTATGCTGACAGCCCAAAGAATTGTTCATACAAGTCTAGCCTCATGGGTAAAATGAGTTTATTAGGGATTGCTTGCTTACAAAGCATTCACGAAAAGTTGCCAGCCCTCCAAGTTTCTCTTTTGTATGGTTCTTTGTCTACAGTAGATTTGACATGAACTTGGATTGGAGCACCACTTATTATTAAAGTAGCAGTTGTTAGCTTATGCTAGCAGTACAGATCAGCTAGCCTAAGGCGCAGACTCAGTTATATGTACACTGTGGCGTTGCCTTTATTTGGGATTCTACTGTCTTTAACAAACGCTGTCCAAGCATGGAGAAGATGACTGTATTCTTTTTTAATCTGGCATGCATAGCAGCTAAGTGGTGCTTGCTACACTTGGGCTAGGAGACAGGTTTCTAGTCTCACTAAACTCTTGATGTTGCAGAGAAATTCATTGGTGCCATTAAAACTGAGAAAATGGAAAACCGGTTTTATGTATCAGGAGACTCAAAAGTGTTTTACACATTTTAACAATTAATTTTACTTTTTAAAATAAACACGAAGAAAAAAATAGTTCCAGCTGATCTCAGTATTATGATTGATCATATGTTGTTCTCTCCTGATCTCTGGGCAGAAAACAAAATTTATCCACAAAGTTAGGAAGTTCATTTGGAAAACATCGTCTTTTTCTTATTATTAGTAAGCACAAATCTCTGTTTTCTGACTTTTCTTCTTTGTTCTGACCTGTTAAATACAGGTTTTGTCCAACTGTCTGCTTTTGACCCACACTGTTCTTTTTTTGGTTGGTAATTTTAAAATATTTATTATTTTTATTTTATGTGTATGAGTGTATTGCCTGTGTGTATGTGAGTGCACCTGTGTCATGCAGTGCCACGGAGGTCAGAAGAGGGCTTCAGATTCCCCTGGAACTGGAGTTAAGGATGGTTTGTAGCTGCCATGTGGGTGCTGGGAATCGAACCCTGGTCCTCTGTAAGAGCAGTCAGTACTCTTAACTGCTGAGCCATCTCTCCAGCCCTATTGGTTGGTAATTTTAATTGATCTCATGCTTCTAGAACTATCATTTGTGTATAGGTATTCCCAGAATCTGAAATTCCAGTCCTGTCTTTTCCAGAGTTCCTTTTGTGTTGCTTACCTTCCATTTGTGCGCTCTTGATTCTTTGCATATTTGGCTCCAAGTTCCAAGTTTATGTATTAAAAAGTCTTAATTTTACCTCCTAAAGTGGGCCATAATTTCTCTGTCAGTCCATCTAGAAACCTCACCTGCTGTTGTGGTGGCTCAGGCCTTTAATCCTAGCACTATCGAGAAAGCGCTATGCAAGGTCTGATCTGTGCTTCAGAAGACTTCTACATGATTCAGCAGTGTGTTTAGCGGGGGTGGGTGGGGGGTGGTGTTGGGGGGCGGATCTCTGTGAGGTTGAGGCCAGTCTGGTGTATATAGGAGTTCCAGGCCAGCTAGGGCTACAAGGAGACCTCTCAAAAAACAAAAATAAACAAACAAACAAAACCACCTTCATTTATTTCTCTGTAACACATTCCATTATGTTGCCATATCTGTACCTGGTTACAGAAGTTCATGGGTAGTTTTTGTTTGTTTGTTTGATTGGTTTGTTTGTGTTTTCGCTTCTTTGTTTATTTGAGACAGAGTCTCCCTGTCGCCCCAGCTGGCCTGGAACTCACTGTGCATGCCAGACTGGCCTCAACCTCACAGAGATCCCCCCCTGCCTCTGCCTGCCTAAAGGCATGCTCTACTATGCTCAGGGTAAGTTCTTTTCTAAGGGGGTATTTGTGATAGGTCTTTAACTGGACACCACCACCCCCTACCCACCCCCATTAAACACATGTTGAATCATGTAGAAGTCTTCTGAAGCACAGATCAGACCTTGCATAGTGCTTTCTCGATTAAAAGCTTTCAAGGACATCTTGCTATATACAATGCATGTTGATCTGCTTTCTTCTAGTCTTCAGGAGCCTTCTGTTATATGACTTCCACTTTTCTGTTTCCTCCCTCCTCCATCTAAGCCTTTGTGGTTTTCCCTCCCTCCCTATTTCTCCCCCTCATTACCCTATTTCTCCCCCTCATTAAAGAGTTGACTTTCAAATTATCTTCCAGCTGGAATCAGTATTTCTTTTCGAGTGTTCCCAGTGATTCTTTCTGTTAGTGCAGTTAGTATCCTTTCCATTGTATAGTGGTTGTTTATGTGTATGGTACTAGTTTCTAGTTTTTAAGTTCTTTAGACCTGGTTTTATGTCTTAGTCTCCTGTTTCCTTGTATTATCTAGTGCATAGATTGTGTCTCTAAATTGTATTTTATATATGTAATACTTGGTTTCAGAGATATTTTTTAGTTAAGGAGTTAGGAGGACATTTTAAATTATATGCTAAAGACAGAAAAGCTTAAGGATTACAAAAATAACTTTAAAATAATTTTTTTTAAAGTTTAAATAGGTATATAAATGAGATAATAGATCACTAAAATTTTAGACAAATGAAACTTAAAGGAATCTAAAAGACTTAGCAGTAAGTTCAAGCATTTAAGTAGTATTTATATTATGCAAGCAGAAATATGTTTTTCTTTAGTATTTTTACAATGTATAACTCCATTATGTACCATGATTTACCTCTTGTAATTCTTTTTTAAAAAAAAAAATTTATTATTTTTATTTTATGTGTTTGAGTGTATTGTCTGCATGTATGTGAGTGCACCCGTGTCATGCAGTGCCGCAGAGGTCAGAAGAGGGCTTCGGATTCTCCTGGAACTGGAGTTAAGGACGGTTCATAGCCGCTATGTGGGTGCTGGGACTCGAACCTGGGTCCTGTGGAAGAGCAGTCAGTATTCTTAACCGCTGAGTCATCTCTCCAGCCCCCCTCTTGTAATTCTTAATGTTTTAGGATCTTACTGATTCTGTAATGGTTCAGTCTCCTGCTCATATTTTGCTGGTGACGTGTTTTACTTTTCTTTGTTCTCTAGCCTATGAAAACTTAGATTAAAGATTGTTTCAATGATATTTTTATTTTTAACAGGAATCTTGTGCTAACTTATGATGACTGTCATAAAGAGACCAGGCTATACTGAACACATTAAAACCTAATGTAATGAAGAGTGATTTGTGTTTGCTTGAGGAGGCTTCCTTTGTTCAGTAAAGACTAATTAAAATTAATTTTAAGAACACAAAAAATTCTGTTTTATAGGTATCCTGGTCAGATATAGGAGGACTGGAAAATATCAAACTGAAATTGAAACAGGCTGTGGAATGGCCTTTGAAGCATCCCAAGTCTTTCATCCGAATGGGCATTCAGCCACCTAAAGGAGTTCTCCTGTATGGGCCACCTGGATGCTCCAAAACAATGATAGCGAAGGCTTTGGCCAATGAAAGTGGGCTGAATTTTCTAGCTATAAAGGTAGGGTGTTGGTTACACTGTCTTCTGGCTTCTTTCCACCCTATCCTCCTACTGCTGTCCTTATGAGAGCATATGAAGGTGTCTCTGTACGGAAACAAGTTATTTTTATCTATTTGAGGTAGGTGACAGTAATATATGGGCAAATGAGATGGATGGATAGATAGATAGATAGATGATTAGATAGATAGATAGATAGATAGATAGATAGATAGATCGATAGATAGATAGATAGATCCAGCTTCATTAGTGCTAGCATGGTCCTGCCCCCCCCCCTTACATAAATGAATTGTTGGAAAGTTTTGCGTCATGTTGTTTTGAGAGGAAGAGTTTGAATATCAGTTCCTTTCTCTGCCAACTTCTCACTTTTTAGGTCTTTCACTTGTCGGCAGCACTTCTGACTCACACTTGATACCTGCTCTCCTGCTCTTTGAAACTTTTCCCAGAATGGCCTTGTATATGCCAATGCTGTACTTTGTACTAATTTTCAAGATCCTTCACTCACAGGATGTATATGTAATTCTATTACATGTGAGTTTGGGTTTTTATGGGCATATTCCCTCAAAATTAACCATAATTAACCCAGGTTAACTTGCCTTCCCCAGACATTTTATAACTTAAAAAAACTTAATTTGAATTATAATAGGCCAAAGTACCAAGCAGATGTCAGACACATTTTGGCAGCCCTTGGAAGGCTGGAAAAGTCCTAGAAATGATTATGGAGCAGAATTTGTTATTGATGTGGCATAAAATAATGAAACATATTAAAAAGCTCAGTCAAGTTTAGCAAGTCTTACTAGCTTAATAGAATAGCTAGGCAAATATTTTCACATGTATCTTTCATTTTTTGTGTGTTTTAAAAAATATTTTTTATTTTTATGTGTATGTGTGTATTGCCTGCATGTAGGTAAGTGCACCTGTGCCGTGCAGTGCCCGAGGAGGACAGAAGAAGCTGTCAGATCCCCTGGAACTGGAATTAAGGACAGTTGTTAGCTGCTGTGTGGGTGCTGGGATTGGAACCTGGGTCTTCTGCAAGAACAGCCAGTGTTCCTAACCTCTGAGCCATTTCTTCAGCCCCTGTTTGTTTTTTACATAAACTTGGACACTATAAATCTTGGCCACAGGTGCTGAAGATTACATGCCCAAATAAGGCAATGTATAGTATTAATTCTAGAGTTTTTATTGCTCACACTTTTTAGTGTAGCACATTACTATCTAGCAGATAAAATGTTAGGACTAGATAGCTAAGGTTATCTATTAAGTATAATTTTTAAGGAACAGCCTCATCTTAGCAGCAGTATCTGTATTAGTTATTCTTCTGTTGCTGTAATAAAAACACTGACCAAAACCAACTTGGGGAAGAAAGGGTTTGTTTGGCTTGCAAGCATACACCATCATCAAGGGAAGCCAAGGCAGGAATTCAGGGCAGAAACCGGGAACACAGACCATGGAGGTACCCTGCTTACTTGTTTGTTCCCCTGGTCTGTGCTTAGCCTGCTTTCTTACATAATTCAGGACCATCTGCCCAGGGGTGGCACTGCCTACAGGAGGCTGGGCCCTCTCACATCACTCAGCAATCAAGAAAATGCCCCTCAGACATGGCCAGAGGCAGTCCAATGGAGACAGCTCCTCAATTGAGGTCCCTCTAAACAGGTGTGTCAGGTTGACAACTAAAGCTATACACAGTATTGTAGGAATTGTGTGTTATTTTTAAAATATAAAACTTTGAGTAAATGTGAGACTTACAGATCATACTGTATTTATCCAAAGCCCTATTTATACTTTATTTTCAAATTAAGCCACGTAGTTATTTATTTGGAAAGATTTAGGAGTCATCCTTGCCACTTGATTTGCTTACGACCTCTTAATTTGCATTGCTGGTGCATTGTACAATCAAAGGGACACTTTCTCTTTTTAGAGTATGGAAATGCTGAGGACAGCATAACTTCCAGAAATAATATTAGCATATAAAGCAGAGTTCTGCACTGTATCTCTTCCACTGCATAACTCATGCTAGGATTTTTAGCCTGTAATTCAGCTCTTTTGCCCTCTTGTTTCCTTTAGTAAAACCTGCTTCTTAGGCAAGCTAGACTAAATGATTCCTAAAGCCCTTGTACTCACAGCATTCTGTAGTAGTTCACAAGCTCTATATTGAATCTTTTCCTTATCTTCATACCAATAGTGGATAAGTGTTCAGGGCAGTTTTCTGTCAACTATAACAGTTAAGAGCTGAGAAGCATGGTACTGCCATTGTGTTATTTTGGACAAATTACCTTTTTGTATTCGGTTTTTAAATTAAAATTATGACAAGTATCTACACCTAACATGGCTAAAGGAAAATTGTATTCCCGATTTGTTTGTTTGTTTGTTTTATTATGACAAAATACCTGAGGCATGTTAACTTATAAGTAGATTTATTGAGCTTACAGGTTTGGAGGCTGTAAGTCTGGTGAGGGCCTGCTGGTAGATGGCATCTTGGCAAGAGTGTGGATAGGTACAAGAGATCTTTACAAAACAGGTAGCCAGAGACTGATTCTGATGCTGTTGTTGTGCTCAAGTCCCATAAACTCAACATCCCTTTGGAGAGCAATTCCCTAGTGACCTCAGGGCTTCATTAGACTCTACCTCTGAATACTACCACATCAGAGACCAAGTTCCCAATACTTGAACATTTTGGAAGACACATCAAGCAATCTGCAAACCACAGCAGAGCTAATATATAGCAGACATTTAGCAAGACCCCACAGAATTAGCTCACACTCATTATTACTCATTTCTATTTTTAAAATTTTTTATTTATTTTAATGTGTATGAGTATTTTGCCTGTATGTATCTAAGTGCATAATGTGCATTGCAATGCCTACATAGGCCAGAAGAGGGTATCAGATCCCCTCAAACTTGAGTTATAGTTAAGCCACACTGGGTGCTGAGAACCAAATTCAGATCCTCTGCAAGAGCAACCAGTGCTCTCAACTGCAGAGCTAGCCCCTTAATTCTATTTTTAAGAAATGGATATATATTTGATCTCATGGACCAAAAAGGATGGTAGAAGATTGTGTCTGTTTTCTCTAAATGTAGTATTTATTTTTGAAACAGAATATAAACTTTTGTACCTCCATATCAGAATGTTATGAATTTTAACAATTCGAACTTTACACTCAAAATAGCTTCCCTTGGTGATCAAAGTGCACTGATAATATTAAATTCGAGACCACTCTGATATATTAAATTCTAGACCAATACAGCATAACAGTTCAGCTGTTTGGGTTGCCTTTTGCAGTCCAATCATCTGGGTGAGGTTCATCATCATGTAGTTCAGTACAAAAATCACACATTCTTTAGGAGCTACTTTCGTTACTGCCATTACTTATTAGTAATGCCTAACTTGAATTACTCCAGCCCAGACCTTTTCATAGTGCTGAATTCTTGTATTAAATTTTCAAATCTGGTTGGCAGAAAGAATGCAAGAGTCAGAGGAAGGGGTGGAGTATTACCTGGAAGTATTCTCCAACCTCTATGCCAGCAAGCTATAGTCACACCTCCTTCCCACACTCAAGGAATTGATGGGGGAGTCATTTACCCCTCTCACCCAATCAGTTGATCTTAGCTGCATGTGGGGGAGAGCTAAGGATATATAAGCCAAGAATGCCATGAGTCACCTCTCTTGCCATTTCGTGCAGCTGTTGGGAAGTCACAAGATCTGTATTTGAGTGTGGACTTTCCAGTGCAGCTGTAATTTGGGGGGGACCCACTCTTCTGTAAATAAACCCCCACTCTATGCTAGCAAGCCCAATAAATGTGTTAGGATTTAAAAAAAAAAAAGAGAGAGAGAGAACAGAGCTAATAGAAACCTTCATTATTCCAACAAAGTGAGCCTGTTGTTGTCGAATCTAATTTTCTTTGATTTCTTATTCCTATTTTCCCTCCTTAAACTTATTAGTGATTTTATATATATAAAACCAGCTTCAAGCTATTTCTGGAAAAATATGTTAAAAATTGCTTCTTTTTGGAGTATAAAATAATAATAAATAAAATATATATAAAAGAAAAAATCAAATATGTATTACTCATCTTCTCAGCTCCCTTTTCTACCCACCCCAAGAGAAAGCATTGTTTCTTCCCAGGCTTCCTGTGGTCTACCTCTACATGGTACTAGAATGAGTGATCTTTCAACTACTTGAGGCTGCTGCCATATTCTCACATTTCCAAGTCTGTTTATATAATGGTTAAGTCACATTAAAATTTCTATTAACAATAGTAAGGTAGTACTGACATTGTACTTAGTAGAGGAGAGATCATAAAATGATCATAATCTTGTACTTCCCAATGTTAATTTTGAAGTTTTCATTTTTAGAACAATTGTCTAAGGAGACCAATGACAGTTTCCCCATGTTTTCTAACCTCTTTCAGTAAAGCCAGATTATTAAAAAGCATTATATAATATGCCTTGACTTATACTGCCTGCTTTAAAAACCCTCATTATATCAGTATTTTATGGCAAATCCTTAGCTTTTATGGACAATTACCAGAAAAAAAAGACTTGATATGTAAGTCTAATAAAAACAATGACACCAGTAGTTTCCTTTCTGAATCTCGTCAGGCCACAAGTTGCCTAATTAGTTGCTTTAAACTGAATAAAATCTGCATGCAATTCCTAACCATATCCTGCCTCCCAAAAAAAACCCATTCTGCTAATTAAAACTTATTTTATTGGTTGGGGCTTGAAACTTGTTGTAGTCACTTTCTTAATACTTTGTCCATGGTCACATTTAGGAAAAGTGTAATTTACTACAGGTAAATGAAAAGCACCAATTTTATTTGACACTGTTATTTTAAGTCATAGTGCAGAACTGTAAAATCAGTCTTTCCAGATGAAAACGTGTAGAATGATCTTGCTAATCAATGGGAAAATTTGGAATCTAGCATCATCTTTAACATTTTCCAAGCATTGAGAACTCTTACTCTTTCTCATACTCAGATTAGGCAGTGCTCTCTCTTGTCTGTAGCTTCCTTGCTGGCTCCCTACCTCTAATCTCCTTCAGTCCTTTTCCTTTTTCTGTTCCTCCGTTCACATTCTGAACCCTTATGCTCCATTTAGTGAGGACATGACAAATTAATTTGCCCTTTTTATATCAAGACATTTTGAAGTTTTTCAGGTTTTATTGTTGTTGCCATAAATAGTTGATTAATAATATTCCTTCATGTGTTTCTGTGAATGTATGTTTAAGGGTTTCCTTAGGATATGTTTGTACCCAGAAGTTCTTGTCAAGGGGTATAGTACATTTTCAGTATTACTAGACATGTTATTTTTAATGTAATTAATTTTTGCTTACACAGAGGGTAGAAGGTCTTGTGTTAAAGCTAATTAGTAAAATTGGTAGAATTTTATTTCTAGAGAGCCATGCCTTTCAGCCTTGATACCTCATATAGAATAACTGGGTGTAAGAAGGAAATAGACAACTTATCAACCTGATTGAGTATTGTGTGGCAGACAGATATCCAGATAGTTCAGACTGGGCGCCAGTAAATAGAGACTAGACACTATGGAACTTTTCTACAAGTTTAGTTATAAGACTGTCATACTGGGATGTTAACAGTGTGGGTGGTCCCAATACTGTTTATTGAAGTTAATTCTTCTGACAACAGTAGTGGGTAAGAAGAGCCTATTGTGGCCTAGTTGTGCAAGTATTGTAAGATACTGTTATAGAATACATGAATCTTTTTAGGGTCATGGAACTATAAGAGGACTTTCTAGGGGATTCTTGTCAGAAAAGGCTATTAGTCTATGGATTTAGGTATAAACTGAGGAGCATGTATACCAGCTAATGATTAGACTGTCAGTTTTCTAAATCAGGCTTTTCTATTTTTGGTGCCTAGCACTATCCCTGGTGTATCATAAAACTTTGGATGGACGGATAGTCAGAAAGTAAGCAAGATGTTAAAACATGTTCAGTCACAGGCTATCTTTTGAATTGATTTGTGGTTTTAGGAATAGAATAGCTTTAGTATTTGAGGCATAAATAATACTTGGGAAATAAGCATGCTAAGAGAATTTAATTAAAAGTAATTTTAATTTTTCCTCTTCTTTTGTGTATATTTTTTCCTCCTTAATCAAGAAATTATAGGTCGTTGGACTTATAAAGACACTGTACCACTGTTTTCTTTCCTTGTAGGGCCCTGAATTAATGAGTAAATACGTTGGTGAATCTGAAAGAGCAGTTAGAGAGGTAAGAAGATTATACCTTAAGAGAAAATCACACCTCTGTTCTTCTGTGTGGTTTCTACTTTGTTTTGGGTAATGGGATGAAATGCCAAATTCAGATTCTATTGGAATAATTTTTCTTAAGGGAAATATTTTATTATTTAAAATTGCAGTTTTGGCAGGGCTGGAAAAATGGCTCAGGAGAGACATTGGCTGCTCTTGCAGAGGATGCAGATTTGGTTCCCAGCACCCACATTGGCGACTAGCACCCATTCATAATAACTCCAGTTCCAGCGTATCTGATGCCCTCTTTTGGCTTCTGCAGGCATTGCATCGTATTATCTTACCTGTACCTGTTGGTTTAAACAATGTGTCTTCCTTCTGTCTGTTGGCTTTTAAAGCCAGGCTGTTAAATGCCAGTGCATGACTGATATACTTTTCCTTCATATGAGTTGTTCAAGTTGTGTTAACTTGGGGCATCTGGAGTTAGCATTTGACTGCATGTCTTGATTTTATTGAACAGAGATTGACCTGCCTCAAGCTCTGCCACACATAAGGCCTCTATAAGCTCACAGAAGCTGTAGGACAAGAACAAATAGCGATGAAGTAGTGGTCCCTATTTGTGAAGACCTTAGTACTAGTCAGAAGAAGTGGGGATTCAAATACTTTGCCATGAGAAAATATTTAAAATTATTTTGTGTCATTTTTTTCTGCTTTAAATTGTAGATAAAGGCAATTTTATAAAGCACTAATTGATCATGATAATGTGAAAAGGGCAATATTTACTGATACTGATGACTGTATTCTTATGATCATATAACAAATGAACAAAAAATGGTGGCCTAAATTATGAGAAACACATTTGGAGTTCTTTCTACCCACGCTGCCTTCTTCTGCCCAGCTTATTTCCATACATCACCCTCATTGGCTCTTGGTCATTCTCTAATTGTAGTAGTTTCATTGGATTCTCTGCAAGCCTGTTTATGTTCCTGTGAGACTTGGCCAATTTTCTTGTCTAGGGTTTATGCCAACCATTTTCCCACACAATCTAAAAAGAAATGAGTCAGATGTGTGACTTAGAGATAATATGAATATTTTCTATGCTAACCTGTGACTGACTTTAAAAAAACATTTTTATGATAATACTATTTATTTATTATTTATTGAGTTCTATGCATTATGCCAAATTTTTTATGTTCTTTTTGTTACTATTTCTTAATCTTCTGAAGTGGGCATCTATTATTATCTTCATTTCCTAGATGTAGAAATTGAGGTTTAAAGAAGTAAATTTGCTGCTGACATTCCATTCCCTCAGCCCTTGGTTTAGTTGGTATTTTAACTGAGTTTCTCTGATTGCTTAACTGGCCTCCTATGCAGCCTCTGGCTATTTATTTGTTTATTGGGTGTATTTGTTTGGTTTGGTTTGGTTCGGTTTGGTTTTTGGTCTGTGTACTCACCATTAAAGATGTTAGTTTAAAATCCATTGTAATGTCCTGGGCACTATTTTAAGTTGTTTTGTATATTGTTAGAATTGGCGCTAAGTAGTTTTCACACTGAAACCAGGTCTTTGCTAACCTGACGAATGTGATAATCTTTCCACCAGCTATTTCGTAAAGCAAGAGCAGTGGCTCCTTCCATTATTTTTTTTGATGAACTTGATGCCTTGGCAGTTGAAAGGGGCAGGTAAGAAATATTGAAAAGCTTATTAATATTATCAAATATAATGTAAATACTGTTTGTTACACAAATTTTGTCTGTTGTTGCATTTTTTCCCAAAAGAATTTTTGAATCTATGCAAATAATTTCTCTTAAACCCACTTAATTTCATCTAATCAGTTTATAATGATTTCCTATACAACTGAAAAACATGGTGATATCCATTGAAACATTTGAGTTACTTACTAGTTTATCTACTAAGATTCTTTAGTACTGTACATTAAAAGTAGCACTGTTCTTCTTTAGTACTGTACATTAAAAGTAGCACTGTTCTTATAAACACAAAATTAAAAGTCTAAACAAAGTTGGGTTAAGTATACTTATTTGATATACAAGTAAATTATAATAAAATGGTATTACATGAATTTTAGAACTGAGAGAAAACTATTTCTTACAATTAGAATACAAAGAAAATTATCTAGAATGCTTGGGATCAGAAAGTGTGTTAAATTTTAGAAGTTTCTATTTGTTTGTTTTTTTGAATTTAGACATTGCTGAAAAGATGTTCAATAGATTTTAAATACTGAAATATTTTAGATTTTGCTTTAGAAATATTCTACCTCTAGTAGTTTTGTTCCTGAATTTTAGACAACATGTTAACTAGGTACAATTACATGACTTTTTTTCCTGTAGAAATGTTTAGAGGTAGTTTAAGCAATATTTGCAAATAAATAAATATTTCATGTTGGATGATGTTAATTCATGTACTTTGTACTTCTTGATGTATACATTGATTATAAACATTTTGCAGTAAAGGCAGAGTAATTCATAAATCTTCATATTAAATGTGATAAGACTCAGTGCCTTTATATTACTCCCAAGTTTGAAAAGACACAAAAGGCTTGAGTAGCTCAAGGTTACCTTAACTACAAGAAAGTGAAGCCAGAGAAACTCCCTGAACTAGTATGACCTGCCACATTTTTGTGATATCACGACCATCTGGTTTGAGAGCTTAAAAAGGTACACAGTGGGCTATAGTTAAATATAAACCAGATAGGAAACAGTGTGTAACAGACTTCTCATAAAATATTTCTGAAATAAAGTTGTGTGGGAAAACAGGGCACTTTGTAGAAATAACCTGTTTTTTTGTAGGCAGTTTGGCTCATTAGGAATTAGCAATATTGAAGATTAAAATGATTTAAAGCTTCTAGATGCAATTTCCTTTTGTAGTCCTCATTTTAAACTTTTCAGAGTGAAATTGTGTGTATTGTGTACCTCCCTCTTTCAAAACCCTGCCTAAATCAGACATATAAAGTCTGTCTAGATTGCTTTGTGTAGAAAAATTATCACCATCTACCAAGTTAGTTGATAGTACAGCAAAGACAAAGTTGATGAACAAATATAATTAGATGGGTACAAAGTAGAGCATTTTCATTATAAAAATTTGCATTGCATCATTGGTGGTTTGTTTTTATAGCCATAAGAATCTCATACTGACATTCTATTTTTAGTTGTTTTTACCACCTACAAATAATTGTTTTATATAATCAGGTTACTTTTACTTGGAAACCAAAACATAAGAGCTCCTTATGTATAGCTTATTCTTTGCTTATTTTGATTACATTATTTCTCAAAATTGTAAACTTCTTATAGTTAAACCAGAAGTGTAAAATTCTTATGATGTTAAACCAGTTTTAATCATTATTAAAGCATTCCTGGTATAAGTAAACAGAAATATTTCATAAACTGGTAAATATTTTGACATAATATCAATCCTTAAGACATTCAGTGATTCTGTAACATTCACATTAAGCCCATGTGACTGTTCCCCAAATGACAATGCCAAGAAGTCTTATCAAGATGTAAAGTTCTAAATTCAAGGTGATCAACAAACTAACCAGTGAATTATGATGTATGCTGTCATAAAACATTCTAACCAAAAGCAACTTAGTTGATAAAAGAATTTGGCTTAGAGTTGTAGGTCAAGGCTTATCATTGAGGGAAGTCAGGGCAGGAAGTCAAGCCAAAACAGTGGAGGAATGCTACTTGATGGCTCACTCACTCACAGTCTCATTCTTAGCTAATTTTCTTTTAATTTTTAAAAGTTTTTAAAAATTTATTTTTATGTGTATCAGTATTTTGCCTACATGAAAAATGTTCATGTAGTGCCATCAGAGGTCAGAATCAGGCATTGGATCCCTTGGAACTGGAGTTATGGATGGTTGTGAGCTACCATGTGGGTGCTGGGAACCAAGCCTGGGTCCTCTGCAAAAGCAGCAAGTGCTCCTCTGTGTCATCTCTGCTTGCCTTCAGCTAGCTTTCTTATAAAGCCCAGGGCCACCTGCCTAGGCATGGTGCTGCTCACAGTGAACCTTTTTATATCAGTTAGCAATGAAGACAATTCGTCACAGACATACCCACAAGCCATTTTGATCTAGGCAACTCCTCAGTCTATCCTGTCCTCTCAGATAACTCTAGGCTCAACTGAAGTTGTCAATTAAAGGTAACTAGGACAGGCACCTTTGTGCATTCATAAAGATGTATTTTGTTCTTATGGCAGTTGTAACCTGCATGTTCTTCCCTGCTCTATGTGATAGTTTCTTTGGAACTTGAAAGCCTGACATTTATTTTTCTTCTTTAGACTCATTAAATTATGGGTGGTAGAGCATTTTATTTCATTGAAGGACTTGAAGAGGAAATACATGTTTATTTTTGTGAAATAATCAGTTTCAAAGAGTTAAATCAGCTTAGTAATTATTATGGCAGTGAACTTTCTTTGAAGATTGATTTCAGCAGATCTTTTCTGTACTGCTTTTTTTTCTCTCTAATACTGGGGATAAAATCCAAGGCCTTGGATTTGCTAGATAAGGGCTCTTAATTTCCTGAGCAAAATTCCCAATCCAACATCTCTTTTCTGTAACAGAGCCATGTAGTAAATATTTTTAGTTTTGCTACAACTAATCCTCTGCTGCTGTAGTGCAAAGACATCCACAGCAGGTAATCAGTGAGAAAATGGTTGGCAGCCATATGCACTCTGTAGTTTGTCAGACATTCTTCTGTAAATATAGGATTCATGTTTAGAATAAAGTAAGAACCAGTTGTGTTGTCGCACACCTTTAATCCCAGCTGTGGGGATACAGAGGCAGGCAGATCTCAGTGAGATGAGTCCAGCCTGGTTCACATAGTGACTTCCAGGTGGACTGGGACTAGGAAGACCATGTCGCTGCCCCCCCCCAAAAAAAGAGAGAGAGAGAAAGAAAAGAAAAAAAAGAATAGAAAAATAAGAAATTACATTGGTCTGGGGATATGGTAAAAGTAGGTTTTTCCTCTAGGATCTTTGACTTCTCCAGCCATGTGTTTTGGCTCTGTTTGTAATACCACAAATAAGTTTCCTCCCACTGAGCAATTCTTAATTTCAATTAGACAGCAGTTGATTACCCTAAAGAAAAAAAGCCACTATGCACCAATAGTGAGAGTTTGCTGAGCCAGTCGTTGTTTTTGAGGCTTTGCGCTGGATAGGGCCATTGATTGGTTTTCTCTCTTGGTAACTTCTGTGCTATCTTCTGATACATGAGAGCTAGTCTTCAGGGAGGAGACTTCCAGGTCAAATCCTGCTTGATTGCTCCAAGTCCTGTACCTGAAGTGTGGCCTGTCTTCAGCAATAGAGAATTATCTTCAAGTTCTTAGAGGAGATCAAGGGCTGTGTTATTTTGGGAGTCTCTTGGACTACCCTGACCAAGAACTCGAAAGGAGGTTTCTCCTGCCTGGCACTGTGTTTTTTGCTATATAGCCAGGAGCTATACACATGCACTCATAAATTTATTGCATGTGTGTTTTTCAGTAGGATTTGAGCTAATACATTTCCCTCTAGTTTTTCATGCTATTTAGGCATTATCTTTACTCCCACTCCCCATGTATAATCATCCCTTTTCTCTCCCCAGTTAAAGTGCCCCCTTCCCTGTTTTCCCCTTAATAACACCTGTCTCGTAATACCCCCCTCTCTCACACCTTCTTCCCTTTTATCCCTATGATTCTTTTCCATTTTCCTGGGTTTTGCCAGATTATATACTCATAGGATATATACTCAGCATTTAGGGATTTAGACCTAAGATCCACCAATAAAAAAGAGCTTATGTCACTAGTTTTTCTAATCTCTGTTACTTCATGTAGTATAACAGTTTTTAGTCCCATTCATTTACCTGCAAATTTCATGATTTTGTTTTTCTTTACTGCTGAGTAGCACTCCAATGTCTAAATGAAGCACATTTTCATTGTCTGTTTGTCAATTGAGGGACATTTAGGTTGTTTCCATTTCTTAGCTATAGTGAAAAGAGCAGTAACAAACATGGCTATGCAAGTATCTGTGTAGCAGGATGAGTCCATTGGGTGTTTGTCAAGGATTGGCTTGACCAGATCATATGATAGGTTTATTTTAGGTTTTTTTGTTTTGTTTTGTTGTTGTCTTTTTGAGACAGGGTCTCCCTGTAGCCCCAGCTGTCCTGGAGCTCACTATGTAGACCAGGCTGGCCTTGAACTTACAGAGATCTGCCTGCCTCTGCCTCCCGAGTGTTGGGATTAAAGGGGTATGCCACTTATGCTGCTTAGTTTTAGTTTTTTAAAAGTTCTCCATACTGATTTCCACAGTGATTGCATCAGTTTTCAATCTTACCAACAGGGACTGAATGTTTTTTAAATTGCTGCATGGCCTATCTCTACCAGATAATAAAATTTAGAGTTGGTTTTGATTTCCTAAGATGTCAGTTTTAATGGTTTCTGTTTCCTCCTGATGCTTTGAGAGTCAGCCAAGATTATTTGTCAGCCTATGAAATATTTTCACTGTACAGTTCTCTAGCTAGGGCTTAGTGATTCTGTGGAAATAAAAGGCAAAGGCATTTCTTTCTACAATAGATAGGACATTGAATAAGCTGAGCTCTTTGTTTAAAAACGACAAGAGACGCTAATGTTTCTACATATGCATGTTTTAATTTAGTTAATAAGTAATTTCATTTAGGTACTGTATAATAACA